AACTTAAAAGTTAATTGTCAATTTTTCTGGCCAATAAGTAATATATAATTAAAAAAACATATGTTAATAATATCAAAGATATTGTTCAACTGTAGAAAGAAAAATAATACCATAAGCATTGTGAAAACAGAGCAATGTTAAAGCCGCAACAGTAAAGCAAAGTTATAACTGAAAAATATATATAAAAATAAAATACTACTCTACCAAACAGTGTACATTTGCAATTGATGATCCTGGAAATTTCATCCATTAAAAAGTCAACATTATTTTGAGCCAAATAAAAAGAGTAAGATTCCAAAGTGCACCATTTACCAAATATTCAGAATGGAACCAATTCATGGCTAAGAAAATCAGCAAGTAACTACATTCATCGATGTTCAATCTCCCATTCAAAGTAGTCATACACTAAATGCACCTATTTGGCATTCATGTTTCATTTTAGTCCTAAAGTTGAAAACATATTCTAAAGCAAGCAAAATTTATATCACACGTAAAAGCTAAAAATGCATAATAAACTAAAGCTAAAAATATATCCTAGAATTGACTTTTATATATCCCATGAGGTCACCTCTCATATGTCAATGCTAGATGGTTGAGGACGAAGTTGGGGAGGAAGAGGTCACTAACTGGCTGTTGATCTGGTCATAATCTTCAATAAACAGAGATAAGTAAATAATTGTCATGCCAATACATTCATGAAAGGGACAATAAAGTACAATAAGAGTGAATATCTAGTAAGTAAAATGCAAAAGCAACATAAAACGATTTTTTTACCCAAAAGAACATAATACAAATTGTGGGCATCAAGTGGTGGGCACCAGTAACATATAGAAAGTATCCACCATTCTCTCATAAATTATCACCAAGATTTTATGATTTTCATTTGGATATTTATTACATGCACCTTGAAGTATCAATTTTAATGGTATGCAAACCAATTCAAGTCGGAGCACCGTGAAGTATGACTTTAAAAAATTGGAACATTCTTATCATGCCACTCTCAACCATGCACTATTTTACCTGATCAAGGCTAAGCTGATCTACTCAATAAAACATTTAGTGCATGCAATCTCAATCGTACAAATTTGTTACATCCACCAATGTGAAGAAATAGTAGCCTACAACAATAGAAACCCATATTTTAACAACCAAATTCACAAAAACATAGCAGAGAGAAAAAATTAAAGGAGGGGCTATCAGAATTGGGGTACTTGAAGTAACCTTCAGGGTCATCATCTTCCATGACCATATTGCCCACACTTGGATCTCTTATAGATCTCCATAAGAAAAGCTGCTTTAGATCAAACAAGGATTAATTAAACATAACATTTGGTAGCCTAATCAATTTCACTAATACCCTAGACCCAATTTCAAAATACCATACAACAAACCAACATACCTATCCCATGGTTAGAGCTCGAATCTAGAGATCAATATTAGGGAAGTAGGGGTTTAGGTTTTTGAAATCCTTTGTAATAAGTCTCACTGAAAGCCTTACGATAGAAAATTAGAAAGGCCAAAAAAATAAGGATGGTGTGTGTAAAATCAGGTGGGTGGGTGTGACTGTGGGGAAGTTTCGACAATAACAGTGAGAGATAGAAGATGCAGTGAGAGAGAGGGCAGCGTCTAAGAGTGTGTTTGTGTGGTGCACAGAAGTTAGGGGCATTTGGTTACCTCTTTGGCATTTGGTAGAACACCTCCCGGGCATTGTGTTGAAGACCTTTGATATAGAAGCAAAGAGAGACAAAGACAAAGACAAAGACAGAGAGATAAGCAGTGTGTACCTATGTGAGATGATGCTTGTGGATGAGTAGCGGAGAGAAAGAATTAGCAAGGGAGAGAGGGCTAAGAACATTAACGAATGCTCACATAAACACACAAACACGAACACACAGACACACAAAAATTGAGAACACACGCACAATAAGAGAGAGAAAGAGAGAGAGAGGAAAGTGGTAGCGATTAAGAGAGATAAGACAAACATGTGTTGGTATGTTTCAAGCATTCACTAGTGGGTGAGCGGTGTTGGTTTGTGTTAACAATGTGTGTGTGTGTGTGTGAGAGAGAGAGAGAGAGAGAAGAAAGACGTGTGTTGATGGCTTCTAATAAAATCCAAATCGGTGCTGGTTTGTGTTAACAGTGAGTGTGTGTGTGTGAGAGAGAGAAAGAGAGATAGAGAGGGGGCGTACCTGAGCAATGTAGCAAGAGAGAGGGAACAATAGAGTATTGGGGAAGATATCAATTGCGTTGGAAGAGAAAGGAGAAATGGGTAAAGATCGTCTGATAAGAATCAAAGATCATAGAGAGATTATGATAAGGAAAGAAGATAAAAAATCCTCGGATTTGAAGAGAAAGAGAGAGGTAGCTTCATTTAAATATTGTTGGGCAAGAAAACAAAATTCAGTACTCACTGTAGACCGTTAAATAAAAATTTTCGAGATGATCTGAACCGTCTTTTATGTTGGGATTATGTTATTTGTTGGATATGTTTATGTTTTGTCTCAAAATGATCTGGATCTCTCTTTGTCTTCAAAATTCAAACTCACCTCTATTTTATTATATAGATATTCACAAACCTAGATGGAATTGGACACGCTATCAGTATGATTGTAGTGTAATATTATGATATAGTCTTTCTTGACTGTAGACGACTGTTTAATGTCTAAAATTATTGCACTAGTACATTTTGTATATTGAACAGACCAATGTTGAGATTATTATCTTTTTACTGAAATAATAAGATAACAAATGTCTCATGATTATTATGATTGTTTATGCTCTTAATCCTAAAATACTTAATTACCACGTGCATATAATATTTGTCACTTTAATTCATCAAATGGTGAGATTCATATTGAGTTAATAAACTCGGTAAATTGGAAGACGATGTTATTTGTACGTCCTAGTATTTAAATAGGTTGATGATGTCCACTTGATGAAACTCATAAGTTTTGTTTATGTCAAACCCTGCAGGTGGATCCAATTATCTGACATGACAAATAAGTTGAGAGTGGTAAGGTCTCAAGGAATAAAAGAAATTAATTAAATATGATTACCAATATTTTATTTAATTAATGAACATCTGTAGTCTTAAACGTAGGGAGATTATTAAACACATAATAATAAGGAGTTCGAATATAATTTTAAGATAAGACTCAAGAGATCAATAATAAGTCTTTAGTAACTAACTTATTATTAATATGTTGTATGATGTTTGTTATGGGTTGAACATAGGAATCATAATCCCATTGGAAGCCCGATCTTTATTTTTCCTTAGAGTTTCTGTTATAACCTATATATAGACATCAAGGCTTTTTTTCAGCTTTTATTATTTACTGACGTTTTTGAGAGAAGCTGAAAGAGAGAGAAATTATTTGGAGGTCTCATCCGAATTCTGACGTTTGGAAATACACGACAGAAGGCCGCGAGATTCGTCAAACTGTCTTTCAGTTTTTCATTGTTCGGTTCTGCGTTTGTGCTGAGATGAAATCAATCCCGAGGGATCTCGAAGATAAATCCTAATCCCGCTTTGTAGGGTTTTAAAGAAATTTTTTTGATATTTGATACATACATGCTGTCAACGGCTCTTGGAATTTCCGTTCTAACAGTATTTAGTTTAAATCTCAACAATCTCTTAAGACCACCTGCATGAGAGATTTATCTCTTATAAATACCTTAATCTCGGCCTGGATAATTTGTCTTTGATTAGACCGGGAAGAAAATTAGTCTTTATGCGTTCAAACTAGTTTAGACACTCTTTATCGTTGAACAAAAAAAATAATACAATAAAATATTAGAGCAATACTACTTGAATCTAATTTGCTGAGTTAAACACACTTTAGATAGATAGTGGATCACATTATTTATTAAAACTTTACTATCAATTCAATGATTGTAATGCTTTAGATCAATAAATAAAATCACAAAGTAGATGCAAATAATAAATACAAAAAATATAAGTCATCTAAATGGAGTGCCGCTTAGCACATAGGGTTTTGTTCAATTGACTTGGGCTACACGGGTTTAAATATTAACAACGACAAAAATGGTCTTTTCGTTCACATGCAAAACCTACATAAATCTATCATTTTTCAAACCTCACAATAACAAGGGTCGGTCTCGTACATGGTATCCATTTTTTCATGCGAGATAGATTAGAAAATGTAAAGGTCATTAAGGAGCCAAGTATTTGACCATAGATCAAATCAACATGGTCCCAACTATAAAAACGGGGAGTTAGAGTTAGAACTCTACCAATAAGTGTAGGTTCTCACACAATGGTTTTCCATCCATTAATTACATTCACATGTGAAAATGTCATAAACGCGTTTCGTACCCCCCTTAATTTCCTCGATCTCAAGTCAACACCCATTAAAACAGCTCATATATATATATATATGTGTGTGTGTGTGTGTGTGAATTCTGGAATTTATATGAATTATATTTTCTAATGTTACACTTGTAGTTTCTAAATAATAACTTATTTCGATAAGGGTAATTACTAAAAAAGAGATCAAATGACGTGACATTAATATATTGAGTAAACTTATAAGTTTTAAGTAAAATAAGATTAAAACCGTTGTCAATATTGCATCATCTAATGCTTTTTTTTTTTTGAAAAAATATTTATTACAACGGTTATACCATGTCATTATATTGACATAATGTAAACATCCAATAATAAGTAGGCACATGAATTTCACATGGTGGGTGGTTATTGTATAACATGGATGGATAGTTATTTAATTATGTGGAATTTATTTACCCAATTGTCATCATATCATTAGACGGTTACATCATCTCAGTGTGACAACATTATATAATGGATAAAATTTTTTCTTTGTTTTTGGGTCTCACTATTGATTAATCTAGCATTACTCTTTCCATAAGTATTAAATATGGACTTATAAAATTCTTTGTCGTCCCTATCAATAATACCCGTCTCACACAATCGTTTGTTTCCCGTCTATATAAACCAACCAATTGGAAGTATTTTCTCCACCGCTCAAGTCTTCAAAAAGCTCTTTGTCATCACCTTTCAACAATGGGGCTAATTCAATTCTTTCTAGCCCTTCTCTCTCTCTCCCTCTTCGTTTCTCCGGCCATTTGCAGATACCCACCGGCCGAGGACATAAAATCATGGTGCGGCAAAACCCCCCACCCTCAACCCTGTGAGTACTTCTTGGCTCATGACTCTAAATATGGCCGTCCGATCAAACAAAAATCTGATTTTTTCAAGCTCTCATTGCAACTAGCCCTAGACAGGGCCATGCATGCCCAAACCAACTCTTATAGCCTCGGCTCAAAGTGCCGGGATGAGAGAGAAAAGGCTGCATGGGCTGATTGTCTTGAGCTCTACGATTACACAATTCAGAAACTCAACAAAACTATTGATCCAAACACTAAATGCAGCCAAGTTGATGCTCAGACATGGCTCAGCACAGCCCTGACCAACCTCGAAACCTGCAAAACCGGGTTCATGGAGCTTGGGGTTACAGACTATGTCATGCCCTTAATGTCAAACAATGTCTCTTCCTTGATTAGCAACACTTTGGCCATGAACAAAGACCCATATGGCGAGCCCAGTGGCCCGAGTTACAAAGAAGGGTTCCCGAGTTGGGTCTCTTCCGGTGACCGGAAACTCTTACAATCAGCATCACCGGTTCCTACGGCCAACATTGTGGTGGCACAAGACGGGTCCGGGAACTATAAGACGATAAATGAGGCCATCACCGCCGCATCGAAGCGGTCGGGAAGTGGGAGGTATGTGATTTATGTGAAAGCAGGGACTTACCAGGAGAGTGTTAATATAGGAAACAAGTTGAAGAATATTATGTTATTGGGTGATGGTATTGGGAAGACTATTATTACAGGAAGCAAGAGTGTTGGAGGAGGCACTACCCTCTTCAAATCTGCCACTGTTGGTAAGCGAAACAAAAATGCTCTCAGTTTTTTGCTCATTATTTTGAAATTTAGTTGATCAGGTAAGGTAAGTTAGGTCTAAGTTGATTTGGATATTTTGAACAAAAAAAAAATAAAAATTTTAGGGGTTTGATTCACTAAAAATTCTAATCATTTGTCAATTTTGTGTGTAAGTTGATTCGGACATTCCTAACTATTGAACCAAAAAAGGAAAAGAAATCTAAGGGGTTTGAATTGTTTGATTCACTAAAAATTCTAATTATTTGTCAATTTTGAGCAAAGGAAGTCATGGATATTAGGTGAATATAGAAATGGAAAATATAGAATAATAAATTAGGGTTAATTACGATTTATCCCATTTAAATTTGGGTCATGTTGCAATCGATCTCTTCTAGTTTTAATTTTAATAATTTATCCCTTTCAAGTTTTAAATGAACTAAATTATATGATTAGTCAAAGAAAGTTTGTAAAATAATTTTTGTACCCTTGAGACTTTATTGACACCCAATCAATTTTCTTTTTTCTTTCTCTTTCCTTTGCTCAACTCGACGATCAGCTCCATCAACCACCACCACCGTCCCCAACATAGCCTTCACCAAGCAATCAACACCACCACCGCTGCCCCCCAACACAGCCTTCACCAAGCAACTACCACTACTACCAACAGCTACCAAATCAAACAACACCCACCTGATACCAACCAACCAAAAAGAAAAGAGAAAACCAAGAAAGAAGAAGTCCATTGCAAATGTCATCTACTACCTTTATCCACCATGGTTGCTGTAAAATTCCCAAGACCCATAGCAAATGAGAGAAATCTTTGGAGAGAGAGAATTCATTGACACCGAAATGAGTTTGGTTCGATTCACGCCTTTCGTTCGATGTTCTTCCTCTATTGACGCCGAATGGGTTTTGTGTTGGTAGCAGGCATTTCGATCGGATAGATGGACGAGGATAACCACCAAGGGAGAGGGTGGTGCTTGATGGGTATCACCTCCCTTATATTGGTGGAAAGTTGAAGAGAGAATCCATGAACAATCCTTCACATATCTCTCCCTCTCTGGCGATGGAGATTTGACTGTTGTTTGATGGGAAGGGGATTGGTTTTATTTTTTCCTATTTTTTAGATTTTTTTGGAAGTGACAAAAAATGTGATCTAAAGATGGAGAATTTTGTATTTTCAACAAACTTTTAGATCATTTTATTTTAACTTAGAGCTAATTATTCCTCAAATCCTAAAGATATAAGTTAATTGCAAAAAATTAGAAGTGTGAGGGGGTAAATTGTTGAAATTGAAGTCGATTGTAACATGACCCAAACTTGAAAGGACAAATTATAACTAACCCAATAAATTAATCAACCAAGAAAGAGACATTCTATCAACTAGTATGTATGGAAGAGTATTCGAGTCATACAGTATTATTTTTGTGTCTGTGTCATATTTGAACATGTAAGGATAATTGAGGTGCATCGTGTATTAGTGATAAGTGGTAAACTTTACACCCCTTGACATATGCAAACTCAGAAAAGTCAAAGGAGATGAAAAATCCATGTCTCTGGCACTAGCCGGTTGGAAGAGCTGAGTTCACTGACTTATGAGTTGTAAGATAGGAAAAATACAGTCGACTTCCTCTGGTCAAAATAGATGATTAATATGACAATTTTATTATAATACAAAAAGAGAGAAGATTAAGTACTATGAAGGACAAGTCTGTCACAGATGGAACCAATTTTGCATCTAGAAGAGGTACCTTGGTGGTCCTTGGCTTTGAGTGGGACCAATACATTTGAGTCTAGGTTGTTTTTATTACATTTTTAATCAATTCAATTCGGACCGAATAGACTGAGTTGATTGCTTCATATAATATTATCTAAAATAATTAATAATCCCTTGGTACAATTAGAGTAGGCCCCACTTATCAAAAGTACATCTCCACCTTGATGTGTATGTTTATTACTTAAGGTAAACAACAAAGATTAGTTAAATTAAATAATATCATAAGACTTGTAACTCTTAATTAAATTCAGCTGCTGTTGGAGATGGATTTATGGCTCGGGGCATCACATTCAGGAACACCGCCGGACCTCAAAGCCACCAAGCAGTTGCATTTCGATCTGGGTCAGATCTCTCAGTGTTCTACCAATGTAGCTTTGAAGGGTACCAAGACACCCTCTATGTCCACTCCCAAAGACAATTCTACAGAGACTGTGACATCTATGGTACTGTTGATTTTATTTTCGGAAACGCTGCAGTCGTGTTCCAAAACTGTAACATATATGCAAGAAAACCTCCTAATAAGACCAACATGTTAACTGCTCAAGGCAGAACTGATCCGAATCAAAACACTGGAATCTCTATACATAACTGTAAGGTTATGGCAACTTCTGATTTAAAATCAGTTCAGGGTTCAGTTAAGACGTATCTTGGCCGACCATGGCAGAAATATTCACGTACAGTCTTTCTTGGGACGTTCCTCGATAGCTTGATCGATCCGGCCGGTTGGCTGCCATGGAGTGGTAACTTTGCTCTTAGTACTTTGTATTATGGGGAGTATATGAACACAGGACCAGGCTCATCAACCTCTAAGAGGGTGAAATGGGGTGGCTACCATGTCATAACCAGTGCTAGTGAAGCCTCCAAGTTCACCGTCGGTAGCCTCATCGCCGGCAGTTCTTGGTTGCCAGCCACCGGGGTGCCTTTCACTTCTGGCCTTTGATTTGGATTTGGGCAATTGTTTATAACTAGTAGTGAATTATTTCTATGATTGTGCTGTCATTTTGGATTGTCAATAAGAATAATGGTGATTATTATTAAATATTTCGTTAATTACTTTTTTTTTTTTCTCTCCTAACCAAATTTATTATATGGCTTAGTAACTCGTGAATATATACGATTTGACAATTCTTAACATTTGCACGAAAATCCAATATTAAATCGATACAAAGTTATCAAGTATAAGTTTAGTTTTAACAAAATTAACCTCTAATCATTTTGATTTGTCATACTCACTTTATAAATCACTCGTGTATGGGTTGAGAGAATTTTAACACAATACAACGTATAAACAATCTAAACAAAACAACTTCATATGAAGGTATCGAATATGGTTGTTCAAAATTCTGCCCACTCAACCCATTCCACATTGCGGAGTATCCATAAAATTTTCATATTCTTACTTGACTTGCACATATATTTAATTTTTTTTTAAAAAATAATATATTTAGTATAAAACAACATCGTTTTATATGTTCATATTGTCCAATTTATTACATTTTTTTTAGTGTTATTGATTTATTATGTCGTTTTATATGCTCATATTATAAAAATAATATTTTTATATGCTCGGTGTGAGTAACCCTCTAATCGCTCTAAGAGCGACACGTGGCCTCTACATGAAGGTACCCTTGGACACTGCGTACATTGACAAATTTCTTTGACATGCATTCCTCAGAGTTCTCTATGACTGATGACTGTCCTCGACATTGGCAACCCAAATCGTTGCCAGAGTGACACATGCCTTCGGCTTTTGTTCTACCCCAAGGGACCTTCGCCAGACATATCACCCCAACTCTTAGTCTTGCACACCGGCGAAGTATGAGTAGCAACTTCGACGGTTATCATAACTTGGAAGCGAATTTGAATGTCAGTCATATGCTTCCCGACAATCAGAGTTACAGAGGGATTGATCAATAATTAATAATAGTGACTAGAGCGCAAAATTGAGAGGTAATGGACAAAAGTGCCCCTACACGTACGCGACCAGTCCACCACAAAGAAACATTAAATGACCCTTCAAAAGGATGAAATACATTGATTGCTTGACAGACCCCGAAAGAAGAACATTAGATGCTCGGGATCTGAGCATTAAATGCAGAGACTTCCTCCCACATGACAAGGAATACACTTTGCTTAAAGACTGAACACTACCTGCTACCTTCCAAATGGGCCAATGAGGAGCCTTGCCTTCGAGGGGCTTGGAAGTCTGCAATGATTAGCTCCACAGAGGTATAAATAACTCTCACAAACTCGAAACAAAGGTACACACATTCTCACCTAAGTAATAAAATCGTGTTTCTTATCTCTCTCTCACATACTAAGTTAACCGTCAGAGGGGTCACGTCGAAAAACACTCTAACGTCCTTCTAACCTTTCTTTTTGAGTGGTAGAATTCGTCTCAATAAGTCGGGATCGCTCGGATAGCTAGAAAAATAATTCATAATCACTTCTTATACCATCTCTCACATCCATTTGCTACGGATCATCAACTTTCTAGGTAATCTCAAATTCACAAAATGAGAGATCTGTCTATTCATTTATTAATCAAAAATCACCACGCACAATATATATATATGGGTGTGTGTATGTTTATTTTCCGCTCACCATTCCTGGGTCTTCCATTTATATCTTCTGAAACGACCTAACTCATTTTATATTTTAAATAATAATTTTTTTTAGAAGATATTTTTATTATTATTATATTTTGCTGCTGCTGTTGCTGCTAGCAGTGGTGATGCTGCACTTTTATTGATTTCATTTTTATCCTCTAATAAATACTCACAAAATGTCAATTGGTACAATCTAATTCATCACTCAACCAATCAATACACGTTGTTGGCAGTTAATTACATACATTAGAGATTGGTAAGGTTATCAAGATAAAAACTTAGGAGAAAAAAAAACTCTTATCATGATTTCTAACTACTATTCTTGAAGAAACAACGACAGACAAAAGAAGGTATCAAAAGAAAGAAAATCAGAAAAGAAAAAAAAAAGTTGGCCAAAAAAAAATTGGAGGCACATTCATACAAATAAAGATATACCAAAATTGAATTCGATTGTGATCAACTCTATTTGTTGGTAAGAGCAACTCCAACCCGATTGTCAAATCCTAATTGGACAACTCTAACATCTCTTTTTAGTATCCTCTCCTCCGCTATGCCAAATTTTGAAATGCTGTCAAATTTAGCATATCTCATCTCCCATGCTAAATCCAATATTTTATTGAATAAGTATTGTTGAAAATTATTTTGACATATAATACTAGACATATCGATTGGAGGCAAGGTGAATATGTCACACAAACCTTTAAATTTAAATTTAACATATAACATTTGACATCTCTATTGAAGATGTTCTAATACCATGTAACATTGATAATATAATATCACCATTAAAATGCATATTTTGCAAAACTTGAGGGGACCATGGTCCCCTAAGGCCATAATAGCTTAGCTCCACCCAAGCATGCATGCATTTATAGTAGACAGACAGGCAGATATAAATACAAATCGAGAGAGAGACCTACCACCTTTAATATTTAGAGCCACTTAAATATTCCATGGGCATTGAGAAAAAACCAGCAAAAAAGAAAAAAAAAATCACGGTTAACAACAACAATAATTATAATCCTTGTCAGGCTTATTTTGTTTAGAATGGTTCCTATAATACTTGTTAGCAGAGGTAGGAGTCCAACAAGGCCTAATATACATTTTAGTAAATCGAACATATGCAAAACATTAAGTTTATAGGAAGTAAATTCATACCGCACTTTAAAACTCACGACGACATTTTCTTTTATCAAGACCATACATCTTGACCTTCGTCTCACCCTATGCTTCAAGTTAGGATTGCCAATGAATTAGATTTCAATTTGAATTAGCTCCAAATTCATTTAACCAAATATAGACCAATATTTTTATCTGTTTAAATATCTTAAATCAGAAATAAATATATAAACATCCAATTCGTTTATATATATATATAAATATTAACACACTAGCGATAACTCATGCCTTACAAATCAAAAAAATCGAACATTAATCATGGACACAAAAAATTAAGAATGGAATATAAACACACATTAAGTTGAAAGTCTCTACTTCCTCCTTAAGAATCTCGCACTTTGCATACATGCTCAATAAAGAATTACCTATATGAAGATCTTCATGAAGTTAAATTTCAATAAATAGATAGAAAAAAGCCCAACTTTAATAATCAACCTCCTATAAATTTAAAGTGAAAACCCATAAAATTCATATACTTGAAACTACATACCTAATTAGAACTGACGGTAACACTCAATAATATTTACTCAAAAGTCAACTTATAAGAATATGTCAAACATATGTCATTAGCAGAAATATCCGTGCCTAAAGACACTATGATACGCTAAACAAAAAAAAAATCGACCATAATTTAACAAAAGTTCAATTATATACTCTATTTTAGATTAGTTTATAATTTAACAGAAGTTCAATTATTAAGTTTACTAAGCTTTGCTTTAGATTAATTTTCATTTTTTAATTAATATTTGATTTAATTTTCTTTGTTCTTTTAAAAGATTTGGACAAAACTCTCTCTCAAAATAGGATCCCAAAAAATATCACCTCGTACAGACAATTTATAAAATGCTAAAATTTCCCCAATTCAAAAAATGTGTACCTTTGGATTATATTTTTGAATCAATCTTAATCCATTGATGTTCACAAAATTTGCCCACTTCAAAAGTCAAGCTCCTTTGCTTTGCTTTAATGAGAGAAATTGAAATCAGCCTATGGACACCGACAATGAACCCATGCATGAAGATACTATGTAACGAAAAATTGCCTATTAAAAAGTGTGTACACAATCTCTATATTTCATAATCACACGTATAAATGCTAGTCCTACCTAAATATAACCACATTAACCAACCACTGCAACAATAAATATCCACAACTAATTATTATTTGATAAATTTTGTCAAAACTAATGAATACACAACAAATATAACCACAAAACAAACCTTGAAAATTAGTGAAACCAATCATTATCTACTCTTTCAAAATTAATAAATATATATAACAATCACACACTAATATCAACATAGCTATCAAAAAACTTTAGCCATGAAACATTCAAATCAAATTCTCATAAAAATTTGGTTGTTCTTCATCTTCTCTTTCTTCTTATAATCTTTCATGTTCGTAACAACTTGAGCATATGTGGCGACATATATGTTTGGTTTTTTTCCTAAGCAACATGATTAACTACTACTTTGATCCAAGTACTCCTAATGTATGAACCTAACATACATCACATAAAATGTGCAGGACTATAATGTTAAAAGAAGGAAAAAACATAAAATTGAAAAAAATAATCCAATTAATTGATTCAATAAAAGACTATATATGCAACACAAATTGTACAAAATAGAAAAAATAATCAAAAAATTACCTACAAAGATGATTCACAAACGTGAAAAAATTCAGACTCAAAACCTTTAACTCAACAATCAAATAAATTCACTGTGAAGAATAAAAGAAATCCAATTCAACTAAGTCAATGATATTATAAGACAATTGCAATTAAGGACACAATTTATAAGCAAGAAAAATTAAAACCCAATTTATTGGCAAAAAAGGGCAAGAGTATGTGTTACTCTGTGTGTGTGTGTGTGTATTCTGTTAATGTGTGTTCTTTGCATGTGTATGTCCTATATTTTGTGCGTGCAGGCGGGTTGTGTAAATGGGGTAGGAGGGGTTCTAGCAAGGGAAGAGCTTTGGGTGAGGTTTTATTGTCGTTTTTTTTGTTTTTTTTTTCTTGGGGGGGGGGGGGGGGGGNAAAGTCAAGCTCCTTTGCTTTGCTTTAATGAGAGAAATTGAAATCAGCCTATGGACACCGACAATGAACCCATGCATGAAGATACTATGTAACGAAAAATTGCCTATTAAAAAGTGTGTACACAATCTCTATATTTCATAATCACACGTATAAATGCTAGTCCTACCTAAATATAACCACATTAACCAACCACTGCAACAAT